CCCCATGTACCTAAGCTCCTTTAGTTCGTCCATCTTGCAATCCACCCTCTGTGGTGTTCTCCTCTATCTCCTCTGTCCTTGCCATCGCACACCCTTGTGTTGTCACTGGGTTCCTGCGCTTGGTGTTTGTCTGTCTGTCTGTCTGAGTGCCAGTAGTGCGGCTCGGAGACTTCCCCTAAGTGCGGCCCTAGCATCATGCAGCCTCCAGCCGAGTTGGAAGGTCCATCTCTTCTCGCTGCAGGCGCACAGTTCCCACCGTGGCAGTCCCCTCGCTGCGGACTTCCAACATCGCTTCATGAAAGCCCATCAATTGTCTCAACGTTATCAGCAGAGTTAGAAGGCCCATCTCGATTTGTCAACCCATCTACTGGCACTGTCGTCACGCGCAAGGAGGCTTTGGAGATACTCCTAAAGTTTGCGTGCTTGTATAGCGATCTGCAGTGCATCGAGCAGGAGAACTGGGACGCTCAAGGCTGCTTGGAAAAGTCGTATCTGCGTCATTCAGAAGCGATTCTGGTGCTGCTCATTGAGGAGTGGGCGGAGCGCGAGATCGAGGCGGTGGAAGGCGCTTTTGGAGTGGAGGCTGTGGGTGACCCGGACGATGCTTGGGCACTCTTGGACTATGACGTGAACGTTCAGCACAATAACGTGCTGCCTGAGCCGGATGTAGCCCTGGCCGGTCCACGTGGCCGCGGCGTGGCTAGCAGCTCGCGGGTGGCTTTTGCAGAGAACGACACGCTACACACAGCTGGTAGCTTGGCTCCCGCGGACACAGACGACGCAATGCCTGATGTCGAGAGCCAGCCAGCCCCGGCCGCTCATGTCCGACATCGTACAAATTGCGAGCACGCTCCGCCTGATCCCGTCTACCTTAAAGCCGCGCAAGCCATGGAGTTGGACGAATAGGACATTCACGCGCGGACTGCGCAGGCCCAGCGCATCCCCACCAATCAGTATGAGCAGAACACAATGGTTGCTTTGGAGATTCAGATGCGTACTGGTGAAGACAGTAGGTGCAACGCTCAAATTGCCGATGCGCAGCAAAAGGAGAACTTGGCAAAGTACGTAACGACAAAGAAACCACCTCCTTCGAAGCAGGCTGTCATGATTGCGCTGCCTGAACTTTCTCCCATTGCTCCTGACGTACCGCCTCCGTCGCCTCCACCTGCTGTTGTGGCAAAGAAGAAGCGCAGAGCCGCCCCGACCGTTGTTCAAGACATGGCCAAGGTTTCCAATCTGCGTAGATCGTCAAAGAAAGGACAACCTCGCCCTGTTAACCCACGCCCTCCCCAACCACATACAGGTACTACGCGCCCACGCAATGACAAGCCACTTCCCAAGGCCAAGCGACCGCTCGCAACCTCGCGCAAGTGTCAGGAGGAGCCGGACACAGATGAAGACCTGTCAGACGTCGATAGGGCTGAGGATCAGCCTGGGGACTCGCGGTCTGCTACCGTGGCTCCATTAGCTGCCGTGGCTCCACAAGCTGCCGTGGCCAGGACAAGCTTCCCCTGTTGATACATCTCCGTCCCACCCAAGGCGTCTCACCAGATCTAAAGCGACGAAGAGAGCTCGCTCGGACACCATCACACAGTGTCCCCAGGCTTCGCAGCGTACCACTACACCACCACCAACCAATGCTCCAACCTCTATTCAGACATCACCTCCAAGCCGTCCCCCAGCGTCCAAACGGCTGCGTGTTGAAGTTGTTCTTCCCTGCTCACGCAGTTCTCTTCCTTTGCAGCCTGCGTCTACTGCACCCAGCACACGTCCAAAGCCACGACCCACCGTGAAGCCACGCAAGCCTAAACCTGCTGGCGATACCATCGACACTGCTTCCTCATCTCTTCCCATTGCACCCACTCCATTGCCTACGAACCCATCCAACAGCGGTGACACGCAGACTCCTCTTGATGGTCAGTCACAGCAGAAGCATACATTGCAGAAGTCATGGGGGGGTCTTCGCTTCAGTCGCTAAGAGCTACTTGTCCAATTATCATGTATATAGAACTGTTCACAATATCCGGTCATGATTGCACCCCAGCTCTCATATCCGTTACTATTATGTTACCTTCCTCCATTTCGAGTCGTGCAAGCTCCATCGTATCCGCCATTTGCAATGTTTGAGGTCGTACCAGCCGTCTGTCAATAGCATGTACTGTCGCCACATACGCAGCCATGTTCCCTTCACCTCCCATGCTCCCGGCCTGCTGGATTGTCAGGATATAGATTTGGTAAATCAAACTGACTCCGTACAGGAAATCCAATGTCCAACCCTGAATGTCCTTTGATCTCACGACATGCATCCCACGGACTTGCGGGGCCACCCAACGTCTTCTCATGAGCACGAAGTAGACAGTCACTCTGATATGCTTTCCACCAAAAGCCAAGGTGTGTATGATGGTCAGGTAGATTAGCCGCACCGGGGCCAGCAAAGTTGACTGCTGCCTGACGCAGATCTGACCAGTCTTGGGGTCCCGCATCATTGAGTACATCCTGGACCAGACACATGAAGGGCGATGCAGGTGGTAACTGTCCACATCGAAGTCGAGCATCTCCTATCACGGCCCTAAGTAACGACTGAACACGGTTAGACACAATAATTAAGTAGAACAGAAACGCCACACTAGTTCTGAGCGGAATGCTGCTGTTATGAAGGGATGTTCAATCAAGGGATCAAAATGAATCAGGGCTGCAGCAAAGCGAGCATGCATCGAATCCCAGAGCCGCTGATGCACGTAGTTGCTCATGGTGAGCCTTGACAGGTGTCACGAACACTATTATTTTCGCCATTTATTGCGCATATATGCACACTCGTTTCTCTTTTCCCACGCGTATAGT